CTGGGAAAAAGCCTTCAGCTCATTCTGAGAGAACTACTCCCAATTTTAGTTTTGGTATGAAATTTTTACGCATTTGGTATACATGCATACATACATGTTACAGTAAATATTTTAGGAGTTTACAGAGACAAAAGAGACTGGGTTGGGGTCTATTTTCTTTTATCTGAGGATAACAAAGTAGTTAAATATTATCTTATTTCATTGGAAAAATATTTTATTGGTGGAATCTCGGGAGTTAGATATGTATGGTCAACATTTTTTCAAAGTTTCTGACGTGCTGGGGAGACAGCATACTTTCCCAGGAGCAGTCTCTTTTTACAGAATCAGTCCACCTGTGAATTGACTCTCTGCTTACATTCACGTTTGGGACCAGGGAAAGGGGCACCCAGTTTGTGTTAACTTTTTAAGGGAATGGTAAAAGTTGCACATGAGTCCTGGGGACTTTGGTGTGTAGTAATCCACATGTCAAAGTGGCACATCTTGGGAAATTGTTTTGAACCTTTTCAGTAACCAGGTGCAAGGGCTTCGGTGGGAAAGGGGAACAGGCCCCTCTTCCTGAAATAGGTCTGGCAACACCTGAAGGAAAATGCGAACTGCAGGGTAAAGGTGAGAGGTGAAGAAAAGTATTCTAGGGAGAAGCAATACCGTGCACTGCGTTCTAGATAGAGGTGAGGCAGCTAATAGGCTAACAGGCTTAGAGAAACGAGACATCTCCAGGTGAGGTGAGGACAGTGTCCCTCAGGCTGTGTGTCAGAGGGGACCTTCGGCAGTTTGCTGCATGGGCAGTAGATGGGGGTGCAGGAGAGGAGGTGGGGAGGAGGCATCATAGACCGGCGGGTGACTGAACCCGCCGGGTGTTGGGTGGAGCATTAATGCGAGGCCAGGACACTGCCTGTGAAATCTGAGAACGGGGCTAGTGATAGTGACCGTGAGCAGCCTCTGACACCTCATCTCTGCAGATGCCAGGCGTAGGGCAACTGACCGTTCCAGGGCGGCAGAGGTGCGCGGGCTCGCGCCTGCCCGGCGCGCCCCCGTGACGCCAGAGGCGTGCGCCGCCCCGCCCCGGACGCGTCACCGCCTCTGATGGCCTCAGCTAGTCCCCGAGCGCGGCTGCGGCTGGACGGGTGGCCGCGTCGCCAGCCTGAAGTGGCTTGGCCGAAAATGCGGTTCCACCTGCAGAAGAGCGGACTGCGAAGCCTGTTGTGCGCCTCCCGGGCCCACGGCCTTAGTCCCAGGCCTTCCAACGCCGGTGCTGAGAGAGATTCTGATGGTCTTTAGCGTCTGCTGGGGGGCAACGACTAGTGACCTAGCACGGCGACCCTCAGGTTGGGCCTGGCACGCACCTGTGACCTGATTCGACCTGCCGGATAAACGCCAGGGTCACGATTGAGGGCAGGGGATTTACCTCCACCCATTAAGGCCCGGGCTCTCGACACCCCAGAGCCCGGTGCTTGGCCAGGTCTTCTGCACTAGAGGTGGGGGACACCGTCTTGGGGGCGGGGGCATGTCATCAGCCTGTGCAGGGCCGCCAGGTGTGGACAAGGTGGCTCACCAGCCAGGGTTTTGGAGGCCCCAGTCTTCGTGGGAAAACTGCCTAAAGCAGCTCCATTAAGTTGGGCAGGACACTGTTTGAGTAGAAGGGGTAGGTTGGTTTATCCCTTGAGGTCACTTCAGAAGACACCCCTGACCTAGTGGGCCTCCCAAATCAGGCCCCACAATGCAGGATTAAGTAGGAGGGTAGTGTGGTCAGCTAGGCAGTGGACAAAAAGTGACAACAGTTGGGGAGGGTCAGAGCTTGGCTCAAACTAAGCCAAGGAAAGGTTTGCAGGTAGGTTTGGGAGGAAGGGCACAACAAAACACACCAGGGACCACCATGTTTTCCACCAACATGTTAGTCTAGGTCACATTTATCTACCAAGTGGAGCATTCTCTGGTCTTCCTGTTGTCTACCTGGTCTCTCCATTCCCCACTATGTCTCTGGTGTGCTCAGCCCATTCCCAGGTCTGGAGGAGGCAAGAGGCCCTCAGAGTATGATTCTGTGCACCCTACCAAAGACCCCCGTCTGTGAAATTGTGAAAACAGCAAGGAAAATACCTTGGCACCCTCACTTGAGAATCGTTGTACCGGCTGAGAGCACAACTGGTAAAACAGAATCCTCTGTTAGCTGAAAGGAGACTGGTCCATTTGTCTGGCGTGACTGTCGTTTTGTGTACTAAGTTTGCCACTCACCTACACTTTTCCCCTGGAAAAGCCCAGGGGACATCTGTAATAGGAGGACTGACTCAAGGAAGTGGAAGAAGTCTGGAGGGTGGTTGCCTGAGCGCCTCTGCCTACAGGAAGCAGGATACCCCTTCCACAACATGGCTGGACGTTGGTCATGACCTGACCCAAGGATGGTCACCATTTCACCCTTTGTTCCTTTGCCATGTTTCTGAGGCCATTATCCCTCCCGGGCACATTCTGTGATGTTCCCAGGCTTGAGCTGTGCCAGATGAAGGCAGCTTGTGGCTGTGGAGGCTGGTGTGGCTTCCAGCTAAGCACAGAGGCTCTGGCTGTGGGCAGTTCCAGGTGACAGGGAACTTACAGTGAGTTCTCATACACTCCTAGGGTCTTCCCTAACCCTGGTCAGTGTGTCCAGGTTGGTGGGGGCTTGGGAGTCAGGCTGCAAATTGAGTTTGGTCCACCTAGTGGCTAAAGATTTTGCCCACATCGCCTGTAAGAGCAGGCAGCATTTCTCCCCCAGGTGGCCTGTGTCTGCACTGATCCTGCCATTAGGCTCTCTGTGGGATTGGAGGTTTTGGTTAAATGTAGTTGGACTCCAGGACCTCCCTAGTGGCCTAGGGATTGGGTTGCAGTGCTACCACCAGGATAGCTCTCCTACGAGTTCAATCCCCGGCCAGGAAGCTGAGTCCATGGCACAGCAGACTTACCTTGCCCACTGCTCCACTCAGCAGTGAATTTCAGTGATCTACCTGTTCTGCTCTCCACTGTCTCTGGTGAATCCTCACACCCCCTGCACCTCTGGCCTGCACCCCAGTTCTTCTATGCAAAAATAAAAATCTTACAATAAAGGAATAATTCTTAAGAGTTAAAGAAAAAAGTGTAGCTGGACTCTCTCCAGGACCTTGCCTGACTCTCCATCCGCTCTCTGCCTGCTCATTTCCCTTCAACCTTGTTGGCCTTTTATCAGCCCAGACTGGGCAAACTCTTCCCTGTACACAGGACACCCCTCATGCCCCTTCCACCTCCCTTCCCTCAGGTTTCAGCTCCAAGAACTGAGATTGCTTAGGACATGAACAGTGGGCACTCTGCCAGGTCAAGCGGCTCTTCTGTGCTTGCTGCCCAGAAGACCTAGCTCAATCAACTTTTGCAGCTGGGTTACCTGGTGTCCATGCTATATAACACAGTAGTGTCCTGGAGGGACCTTTGAGTGAATGCAAGGTCCCCACATACCCCGGGGAGAGGGGGAGCTATAATGCTTCTGGCACAAGTTGGCAAGTTTGTCTCTTAGCCCAGTACAGCCTCAGGTCTTTCCTGTGAAGGGAGGTGGAAACAGGACTCTGGGTGCAGGTGTGCAGTGAGTGGCTGGCACCCTTAGAGGTGAGTATTCCGGGGCCAGCTGCCAGGTCTTGCCTGCCTCAGGAACTACCTGGAACTTTGGAGACTGCAACCTCCTTTGAGGGCTTAATTACTGTTAAGCATTGTTCTAAGCATCTTACAGGAATTGCATAATTTCATCCTTATTACCCATTGGGGTCACTTGTGCCATCATTTCAGAGATTAGGAAATTGAGCTTAGGTGATTTGTCCAAGGTCACAATAAGGTCAGCCCCCCCCGCCGCCCCTCTTAAGCTATACCTCACCAGGCTTCTGGTGCCTGCACCCCTCTAATTTCAGCAGCCAGTGCTGTTCATCATGGGCTTTCATCCCCACAGTGGAACTTTAAGGCCCAAAGCTGGTGGCCTGGTGTTTAGGCCAAATGGACTAGGCAGGTTTTACTGCGGGCCTTACCCCATCCACTGCTAAGTCCCCATATGAGGAGCACACGGCCCAGTCTAGGGCTATTCCCAAAGAGCTTCAAAGACCTGTGTTCTCCTACTCCCAGCCCACATTTAGCCCTCAGATATGCCTTAGCCTCTCTGTACTGCTAGATTCCAGACATCTGGTACTGCTTCAGGTCCTGGGTGGGGCACTCTCCCCCAAAAGGAGCAGCTCCAAGGATGGGACTTGCCTAGGGGAAATTTTTGCTGGCAAGTTACTTCCTAGTCTGAGCCAAATCTTTGCATGACTTTTACTCAGAGTTACTTGAACAGGAAGGTTCCTTCTGCCCCCGCACAGCCAGATCCTGTTCTGACTGTGGGTCTCCTCCACTTGGCTCATGGGTTATGGTTCCCAGGCCCAAATGTGGGGTTGTGGGGGGCCTAGGGCTCTGTGGCCTCCATGCCTAGCTTGTCTTAAGGGATAAGTCAAGCTATCCCCCAGTCAGAAGGATACCTTCTCTCTGAAGTTCAGCACTATGGAGTAAGGAGTCCAGTAGTTCCGAGTCAGCCTGGTCAGGCCGCTACACCCCATCTTGACCCAGGGCAGCTGCCCCCCTCTCTGCTGAAAGCCTCAGGGACTAGAAGCTGGGTGGCCCACCTTGTAGTTTTTGAGTTCCAAGCATTTTCCTCTAAAGCAAACCACTACACAGAGAACAATGAGTCTGGGCCCCAGGCTGTAAAGATGGTCTCCATCCTGCCCACTCAGTACTGCCTGCCAGCTGCCTATCAGGATCTTGCCCAGTGATCAGTGGCGAGGCCTGGATGGAGCCCATATATCTCCTTGGCCTGGTTCTGGATCTCTTGGCCTGGTTCTGTGCATTGGCCACAGCTGACTCACCCAGCAGACTGCTTACCTGGCCCCCCCGGCTCTCTTCCAGTATCTTCAGGTGAGGATTAGATCTGCTTTTTGTGAAAGTGTGGCCATCACTGCCCACCCACATGGGCGCACACAAGGACAGGAGGCTGTGACAGGATCCAGTTTATTCTGTTTTGGGAGGGTGGTCCTGAGAGTGGCAAATGCCACCCTGTTCTGGTTTGAGGGAGGGCCCGAGGGCCAGTTAAGGCCAATGGCAGGAGAAGTGGTGGAGAAGGAGGCAAAAGGGGGCACACAGTCCCTGGAATGGGGTGAGGCCGGGCTGAGGCCCAGAGGCAGCTATGGTAGGCCGGGGCAGGTGCCCCGATGCCCAGGGTGGAAGGCACCGGGCTGGGATGGGGCCATGGCTACAGGGCCGTGGACCCAGGCCACACGAGCACCCCGGGAAGCAGAACACAGTCACATGACACAGAACGCAAAACACAGCTACACTGCTCATGAGCAAGCACATGGACAAGTGGGCACAGGTCCACAGGCCAGAGGGACACCTGCCTTGGCTGGACACAATGTTGATACATCATAGAGACCAAGGGGACACATGGCACTACAGGATGCATGGACTCAATGGCCACAGGGGACAGACCCAGGTGACGGAGTACAAGGGACAGGGGAGGAGGGCCTCTTGGCACGACTGCACTGGAATTGTGAGAAGAGGGCAGTGGGGGCTGGTCTGGAAGCACCCCCAGGCAGGCCCTTGGGGTTCAGTCTGTCTTCCATACTTTGTTGAGCAACTTCACCACCTCATCATAGATGATGAACACGATGGCCACGTCAAGGCAGACCCGGCCCAGGCGGGGGACAGTGCCCTTGTAGAATCTGAGAGTGGGGTAGGGAAAGGGTGGGAGATGAGGATGGAGATGAAGGACTGTCTCTGGGAAATGGAGGTGGGTCTAAAGGTAGGGACTCCCTAGGAGACAGGGCAGGCAGGAGTTTTTGGGGTAAGACCAGGGAACACCTGGGGTGGGGACAATAGCCCTGCCCCTCCCTTACTTACGCTTTGAGTCCCTCATTCCTCAAGATTTGCAAGCCACAGTCCCATGTATTTCGGTATCTGTGTGCCTCCAGGCCCTATAGGACACCAGCATGCCACAGCACTCAGGAGCCAGCCCTTGCTCTAAGATCCCCTCTTTCTTTTCAGTCCCATCCCTACCTGCATCCGGGTCTTGATCACATCCAAAGGGGTGTTCCCAAAGACACTGGCAGCACCTGCGATAGCTCCAAACACCCCAGTGATCAGTGGGTTCATCGGTTTGTTGGGGTTATCTCCTGGATGTGAGTGGGAATTATGGTCAAAAAGTGTTGACAGGTAAAGGGACTCTGATGTCTGCGGGAAAACTGGACCAGAGTCTATGAAGACGGGAACTTTAGGGAGTGGGGGGTATTTGAAGGGGGTCTTGCAGCCTGTAGACGTACCTCGGTACCAGTTGCGCAAGGAGGTCATGACAAAGAAGCGGATGGCTTGGTTGGATCCCTGCTTCAGCACGGTGGCTGTGAGGCCCTGATAAGTCCCCTTCAGCCCTGGGTGGAGATAGCAGGCATGGGGGTCACACTGGTGCCTCCCAGGCCTCAGCTGCCAATTAAAGCAAGGCACACACAGGTAAACCACAGTAGGAGATGGAAGAACAGGCCTTAAGAAGAAAACTAAATGGCTTACCTTGTTCCCGAACAATCTCCCTGACCCCATGGAAGAATCCTCGGTACTTGGGGTTGGAAGAGGTCTGGTCATGAATGAATTTCACCTGAGAGAGAGGGAAGCAAAGGTACTGGTTCCTACACAGTACACACCTGGTCCCATGGTTTTAGACCCAAAGTCCATGAAGGTCAGGCAAGGATTGGAGGTGGAGCCCTTGGAAATGGAAATGGGTCCCCCTGAGCCATCATGGGACAAGAGGCCAGAGACAAGAGGCCCATCCTTTTGAAGGCATCTCTGCTGTTATTAGTACTTCCCACAGCATGGTCACAAACCATGGGCTATCACTTCTGTTTATTAAGTGGTTTTAAAAACCACGTCTTCTCATTACATATGGCACCCAGTCCAGCCTCCAAGGAGACCCTTCCTATAAGTGTCCTGTGCCCAGCTCCCTAGAGCAGTTCCCCCTGCAACCTCCCTAGCTTTATCTCCCACTGGGCCCCTCCACACCTTGACGGTCTCCATGGGGCACACGACCACCACGGCCTCTGCCACACCGGCACCCAAGCCGCACAGCAGCCCGCGCGTGCTGTCCAGCCGTCCCTGGGCGTCCCGCATGTGGTTGCTGAGGAACTCGAACATCCCAAATCTGGCAGAAAGGGGGTTGGGGGGGGTGGTAGCAGGGTGAGGGACTGCCGCCAGCCAGGATTCCCTGCTGCACCCCCACTCCCGGGACCCTGCCCACCTCACCTGACAGCTGCCTTGGGAATGGAGCCATAGAGCAGGGAGCTGAGGCCTCGGTACAGGCCCAGGACTCCATGGCTGCGGACCGTCTGGCGCACGCAGTCCCCTGGGGAAGAGGACGGTCAGCGACACCCGCCGGACCCGCCCCCCCCAGCTCCTCGCTGCACGTCCCGGAGCACCGTCCGGCCTCCTGCTGAGGGCTCTCCGCTTGCGTCCCACACTGGTCGCCTCGTACTCACCGATGCCCCGGTACCGCGGCGGGTGTGAACGCTCGTCCAGTTGCAGCTGTGTCTTCACGTACTCGGTGGGGAAAGTGATGCAAATTTCGATGCCACCGGCCAGGCCACCTGTGGGGATCAGGGACGCGGGCCCTGAGACCCCCCGCCCAGCTGCCCGGCCCGCAGTCGCCCGGGCCCCTCCCCCCCGGACTTTGGCCGGCGCCTGTGGCGCAGGGAGGCCGGGCTGGGTCCCCACGCCCCACTCCCGCTGTTTCGGCGCGTATGGAGGGGCGACACGCCGGACGGGTCCCTGGGCGCTGGTTGGAGACCGGGACCGCGCCCCAAGCCGGACCCGGAAGTGGGGCGGGGCCTCGGCGTCCCCGGCCCACCCGGAAGCCAGGGGGCGCGTGGGCTGGGGGGGGGTCCGCATCCCCCAGGGGCCCACCTGCCAGAATCGCCTTCCCCGGATGCGTCAGCTTGGCTTTCCCGGACGAGGGTGCAGCGGCCGCCAGAGCGCGCGACGCGACCATGGCGTGCGGGGAGGCGGGGCGCCCGGCGTCGGCTACGGGTCCGAGCCTCCTACTCAGCTACAGTCCGCGGGGGATGCAGCGGTGGCGGCGGCGGCCGGTTAAGGCCCGGGGGGCGGGGCGG